TAATAATATTGAAGATCTAGTATGTTCTAGAATGATTTCAGCCTCATTCTCAGATGTTGTAATACAGGTCTGGAGGAGATAAATACGCAGTTTTAGGTCAACTGACCAGCAAATGGCAGAGGCTGGACATTCATCCTGGATTCTCATTAGGATATCTGACCTGGACTCAAACATGTATATATACATTACAGTCTTATCAATACTATAGGCACATAAGATCCATTCATGTGATGAATTTTCACTGAGTATATGCTACATTTCAGACATTGTTCTAGGTAGATTAAATAAAGAAGTGACTATATACTTATATAACATATTTGAGGATGCGATAAACATTAACAAAATAAAACATATAAATTTAATATACCAGAAAGCTGAATTACATACTAATAAAGCTATGGGGTATGAAAGACAGTGATGAAAATGTTGCTACTAATTTAAGTGATGTGAGTGGGAAAGATGTTTCTGAGGAGATAAACATCTGATCAATTAAGCAAATATTAAAAGAGAAGGAGCCATGTAAAGATTTAAGGGAAAAATTTTCCAGGCAGATAGAATAAAATTAATAAAGGCTTTGAGGTGAGAAAAGCTTGGATTTTTTTTTTTTGAGGAATGTCAAGAATGTCAGTGTGGCTAACATGAAGTGTAAAGAATCAAACAAAAGGGTGAAATGTTGGAGAAAGCAGAAATGACAGTGTGTAAAACTGTGGGGTGGTGATAATGGATGTAATTCTCACCTTTTGGAGAAATTTAAGAATAAAAGTGGTATGGCTTGGTTTATGTTTTGAAAAATACTACTCTGATTACTTAGAGGCAAGCAGTGCGGAAAAGTAATAGCTACCCCAGTGGTCCAAGCAAAGGATAATGTCAGTTTGGACTAAGATTCAGCAAAGCAGGTGGTAAGTTCTCATTGATTTTGAAATATATTTTAGGGAACCACCAGTAAGAATTTTTTTTTAGATGTGATGAAAGACAGTAATTAATTAAAACTTTTATGATTTTTTTTTGGTGAATAAAGAAAACGATAGAACCACTTAGCTAAAATGGGGAATATTAAGACAAAAACATCTATGGCTTTGAGGGAGCTGGTGCATCGGAGAGGTTTCCTTGATATTTAAGCAGAGTTGTCAACTGGACAGTTAGCTGCACACACTGAGCTTAGTGCGGAGGTCATGACTTTGAATTTTAGAGTCATCCATTCCAGCTGGTATTTAAAGCCATCAGTTTGAATAAGATAATTTGAGGAATAAGGAGAGGTTGAAAAGAGAATCTGGAACAATCTAACATTTACAAGAAGAGCCAACAAGAAGACTGACAACAGCAGCCAATGAGTGAAAGCACAGAAGGCATTTTGTTCTGGAAGTGAAAATACGAACATCTTCATTTTTTTAAGATTTGCATTGTATTTAATTTTTAAAAATTAATTTTGTAGGTACATTTTGATATACCTAATGATCACATTCATCATAGGAAATTTGTACCTGCACATATGTCTTGATTCTTTTTCCCCATTCTTCTCCTTTCCCTTCAACCCTTCTTCCCCTATTTACAAAAGCTGTGCTTCCATTTTTCCTTGTATTTTCCCTCCTCCCTCCTCTGCCCTTGCTCCCCTTCCCATTTTAACATTTTCATCCTATTCCCAATATCTATCATGCATTTTGAACCTTATTTACTCTTTCAGTATCTCACACAAAGGAAACAATATTATACTTAGATGTGTGTCTGATTTATTTCACTTAAAAGTATGGTCTCAAGGTGCATCCATTTACCTAGAAGTGTCTCAAGTTTATCATTCTTTATTGGAGTGTAGTACTCCTTTGTATATAAAAGCTACATTTTCTTTATTCTTTATCCATTGGTGGACATGTGGGCTGTACAAACTGTGTTGCTATAAATATGGGTGTGCATATATTGCTGTACTATGATGCTTTTAACTCTTTTAGGAAAATACCAAAAAAGGGAATAGTTGAGTCAAATGGAACCTGTAATTTTAGAACATCTTTGATGAAAGTCTAGGGGCAGATGCATTGCATGCTCCCTAGAAGTCAGAACTGAGATAATGCATACATTTAACAAGATGGACTCTGTTATAATTTTGACACAGTTTTAAGATTATAGTAGGGAGTCAAACAAGAAATAGATTAAAATAAGAAAATGAAGTGTAAGGTAGAGATAATGAAAATATATAATTTACCTAGATTTTTGGTAAAGCAAAATAAAATAATAAGGCAATAGTAGGAGGGGAACACTGAGTCAAATGACGTCTAATTTTTTAAAAGATGAGATATATTATATTTTGTCAGATATTCAGGAAAAAGCATGAGAGGAATTGATATTACAGAAGAGAGATAAAATAACTGAAGAAGCTAAGTCATTAAATTAACAAGACATTAAGGAGTCAGTCTACAAGAGAGGAGATGCCTTGAGAAAAAGAGTAGGAAAAGAATCCTTCACTGTCCTGGGAACAGGAAGGTAGCACATATGGAGATTTGAATGTGAGATTGTTTTCATTTGATTGCTTGAGGAAGGATAAATGAAAGGAGATTGACAGTTAAAAAATGAAGATGAAGATTCTTTTGAGATTTGAAGAGATCAAATAAGATGTGAAATGACATCTCAGAGAATGAAAAAGTGACTTTTCTTTCCTAAAAAAAAATGTTTAAGATTGTCAGGAGATTTTGTGAGTTTATTTCAATGAGTTGTGATAATTTTAACATGGGAGAAATGAATGTTTCTCTAGCCATGTCCAGTTGCTGGCATGGGCTGACTAAGAAGCTGTTGGTTTAACCATTCTAAATCACACAAGGCTGAGGTTTTGTTGGGTGAATACAAAAGGGAGGAAGAAGGGGACAGGGTGAGAGCACACGAGAGAGATAGAGTGATGGAACATGCAATGTCTGACAGGTAAGAAGGGAGTAAGAAGGGTATAGGTGGCAGAATTTGTGAAGTCAGTGATCAAGGCCCCAACGTGGACTGGACAATTTCTGGAGAAGAGCACTACAGTCCCTGACAAGGACAGACAAGAAGCACTATTCAGAGAAGTTGATGATTGACATAGGACTTTTGGAGTTAATGGCCACGACAAGTTTCAGAGTATGATTGGGAATCTTAAGGCAGGAAGTGAATGCATAATTCAAGATCAGGATACAACTAATAATCAGAATTTAGGGTGGAATCTACAATTACCTGACTCCTACTGTATGTTCTCTGTCTCTTTCACATACCACCATTAGCTCCCAATTATTTTTTAATTCATAAAACCACAATAACAAAATGATGTTCCATTCGAGATAGTTAGGTGTGTTTGGTGGGGGTCAGGGAGTTGGCTTCATGGTCTAGACCTGTTCAATCACATAGGTTCTGCATTGAGAACATATGAGAACATATACATTTAGAACATATTTAGACATTTTCATTTTGTACCACACTCCACAAACGATACAGCCAGGCCTAGAGAGAAGGTAAGTGTTTTAAAGGCGTGTTCGTTTTTTCTCATTTGGCCTAATTTTCTATTAGCCTCACTTTTTTTCTATTTAGCATGCCATTAAAATTTTATTAAAATCCATAATGGAAATTTTACAGATCACATCAGTCAAACATTTAACTTTCAATTTAAATTTCCTTTTCATACTACTCACACTCAATAAAAATTAGGCTGGAGATGAGAGATTTCCTGACTCAGGAGAGTGAATAAGCAGTAAATTAAAAAAGGAGATATAAATTAAAGAATACTTTTAGAGTCTTAATTCATTCTTAAATGAAGGCTTAGAGAAAAATACTTACATTATACATAAATGTATAATGCATTTATTATAACAACTTTAGGAAATAAACACAAATAAAAAGCAAAACTGAAAATTACTCAAAAATCTTTAACAGGATATGGCCCCTTTTAAAATATGTGTGTATATCCAGTCATGCTTTATGCAGTTATATTGCTTATGTATAACTTTGTGTTTATTAGATATTTGAAATACTATTTTAAAACTTAATTTTTAAATTTAAATTCATGTAGATAGACCTCATATCCTTGCCATAAAATACTTTTTAAAAACATTTAAAATTTTTTCTAAAATACAATCTATTTTATGGACACATAACATTATTAAGCACCATTTTCAGTCTTTATTGTATTATTATGAATGATACTAATTATGAGCATTTTTCTGTGGATTTATCCATTCCTATACATACAATTTGAAGATCAAAATTGCATTCATTTTTCAGGCTTTTGATTCATTCATTTAGACTGCTCCTCTAGAGTTGCATGGATTTCCAGGACCACCACTGGTACTTTTAAATTTTTACCAAGTTGAGTAAAAAATGGTTTACTCATATTGTCTTTCATTGTTTGTTAATGAAGTTGAACAGATTTTCTTGTATTTATTGGCTTTTCTATTATGATGAACATCTTGTGAATGCCTTTTGGTCATTTTTTAAATATAGTGTTTGCATTTTCTCTTAAATATCAAATGTATTGAGGCTGTGATCTACACTGCAGTCTCCTTCATTCGCCAAAGTCTTCTGCCAAGTTTCTTCCAGCATATTTACTGGGCTTTGCAAGGTTCTTGTGTCATTCCTTAGGGTTTTAAAATTCATTTCTCCACTTAAAAATAATAATCCATGGTAACTGTAGTTCTGATGTTAATATTAATATCACATGAATGAGAATATGTGACAACAAATATCACAAATGTACAGCCAAAACACTAACAATAAAAAACGAAGAATAAAATACTGTACAAACTCATGGAACATTTCTGTTTTTTCCTATGTATTTCCCCCAATTCTGGTAATATAGTTTATATGCTGAATATTGTGTTTATTTGGTCTATAGTTTCCATGTTTACTCCTGCAAGCTTTTCCCTAGTATTTTCCCATGAGTCCTATGAAAAACCATCAGATTATAATACATAGCTGTATAATTTCAGAAGATAACCAATGAGGATCTGAAATGTGGAATGCAAAATGGGGGCTTAGAATTTTTAAAATTTTCTTACCCTTTCCAATGTAATTTCTTCAAATTCATATTCAATTTCAGTCCCATTGACCTGTAAACAGGGAGAAGAGAGGAGAGAATTATTAAGTATATACTGAAGAGACATTGCACTTAAAAAATGCTTGGAGGTTAAAGTTTCATTCTGTCCATGAGTAAGCCAAATTTTCTTGGTGTTTGTGACTATATGTTCTTGTTCAAATGAAATGTAATTCAAGGAAGCCTAAAATATATAAATAAGATACTATAAAGATAATCAAAGATTATTGCATCCTTTAGACTTTTGTAATTTTTCTAGTTGCAGGGAGAGTGGACAGTATAATGTATCTTGAATTTAAAAAGAATGAATCATCAAGGAGCAATGTGGTAATTACAAAAGAAGTTTCCTAATATCTTTTTAACTGTCATGAAAAAATACTAAAATATGACCTTCACCATCAGTGATGCTGTGAACAAAAATATTTTCCTTTTAAAATTTATTTTTTTCTAGCAAAATAGCATTAAGAATAACAATGTCCATTTCCCGGCAATTAGAGAATAATTTTTAAAAAATGTATTAAAGAATGTCTGCTAAGAAATGTCTTTTTTATTCATTTAAGCTCAGGTAATTCATTCCCATTGTTCCTTTATCATGTTTATTAGGACTCTATTGACCTTGTAACCATGCCCATGGACTTTAGTAGCAATAAAAAGCAAAGACATGTTTTGAAATTTGTAGTGAGGAATTGATTTAAAGATCGAATCAACCCTTGAATTTGCAGAACTGATTTAAAATAAATACATTTAAACACAGCTGCACACTTTAGCTTGTAACAGATGTCCATATAATATTATAACAAATAGTTTTAAAATAACCTAAAAAACACTCCGTTTCCATTTTGTCTATCAGGGATTTCTTCTCAGCCAGACAACACCTCTGAGCAAGAGCATTCTCAAATTGGCTGTTTCTTGTGTCTTGTTTCTTGGCAAGAAGACTAGAACTTTAGAATTTTAGAATAAGACAGAAGACAAATTTTCAACCACCAAATCAATAATTTTGTAGGATCCTAAATTCAGTTTATTTTTCCATCTCAGAAGAAATTCAATTAAACCGTACTTGCAGAATGAGAGCTCTGTGGAAGCCAGGGCCAGATATCCAGCCCCACTGCCTAATATGGAGCCTCGCTTAAAAAAATGATAAAAGGAAAAGAGCAATCCACACAATGAATAAATGAATGAAATAATTCATTTATTTATTGGATTTACAAATCCAGGTATTTGTGGATTCTCTTCCATAAGGAATCCAGAAGTAGTGGAGTCAACTGCAGGTGGAATTATAGCTGTAATCAGTAAAAATACAAAATGACCCTGACAATGGACTAATGCGTGTCCACCACTCACTCACAGCATGGTTTTGATTATTCAATTACATGAGCTAATTGGTGAATCACATTTTATTGTATTACTGTATCATCAAACAGCCCTAAACCAAATTTGATTTTCTGGGCTTCAGCAACTTAATGACTCACAGAAAAGGACTTGATGATGTCAAAAAGTTTTAGCAGGTTTGTGGAGATTTTTGTTTGGCACATGTAACAGTAAGAATAACCACCCCCAAACTCTCTGTATATGTTCAAGTGCTTCCATTTGAATTTTTTTTTGTTTATATTTTTGACTTTATTGATAGAAAGAGGGCAGCAAGAGAAGGCTGAATCAATGTGCTGGGTTTTCCTTTTCTCAGTTCGGCTCCAGGAAGCTTTTCTTTGCTTCAGTGCTTCTCTGAGTGAAGACCTTCACTTTATTAAAGTGCTGCAGACTAGAAGAAACTTCAAAGGAAGAAACAAGCCTCAGATAATACATATCAAAAGGTACCAGGTGAAAGAAAGTCTGCTAAATACTTTAGAGACAAAATATTTTAGTAGCATACAGTATATTATGGTAGCTTATCTGATATTTGCTTAATATTTCTAGGGTTATACATGCTGACTCTTACTTTCTAAAAGTGTTAGATACATATGTCCTAATTGGCATTTCCAAGTTCACTGTTGAACTGTGTGAACTTTTGCAGAGTCATATATACCTAACGAGTCTTTTTCAGCGCTCCCAAAATAATTTCATTTGCCTACTTCAGTATAATCTGGGCTCTTTCCCTAAGAATAGACGATGCCTTCTAGGATGTAACCTTGCATTTAAAATAAAGCATCCGACGTCTACATGAAGATTAATGAAAACAGAAGAGTTGAAGATTTTTAGCACAATTTAGGTAACATTTGAACCTTAATCGATGAGCAATTAAAATGCTTATTCACAAGAACTAGTGTGGGGGAACTCAGGAGGGACGTTTGAGAGGCCCCAGTGTTTATCTTCTCAGTAGGAGAGCATGCTCTATGTTCTATCCATGACCTCTAAGATGAGAAATTCTACAACCTATATTGGGAGATTTGGATGGAAAGCATAAGCTAGAAGAACTATAAATAAATCCATTCTAATAAGCAGTGTTAAATTTGGGCTCTGACATTTATGAACATTTAGTGCCTTTTCACCCCAGTGGACAGTACAATATTCTTTCAATATTTTCCACAGATTTATATTATTCATTGAGGATGAAGAACCAATGAGTGTTCACAATAATTTACCCCCAGTCGTAATCTCATTTGTCCTCATTCAGCAATACCAAGATTGTGCTTTGAATGGTTCCCATTGTCTTCTGGGACAGTTTATGCACAACTTACTGCTGCATGAAGTTGCTTTGGTGTTCTCCTTTGTAATCCCAATCAAATTTTCAATATAGGACTTTCAGTTAATGACGTCTCCCCCAAAAGAGGTGGGCCAGATACATTGTTTTGAGCAGTAATATTTCATATGACATTAGGCACCCTGGTAATGTTTGCGAACTCCTGAACATTTGGGGTCTAGACAGCTAAAGAGTTGGGATTTCTGTTATTACAGCTCTTCTCCAACTAGATAACTAGAAAAGGGATACAGTTTGCATTTGTTAAGACTGGGCAGGGCTGGGTATTTAGCTCAGTGCTTCTGCTGCCTGCCTCACAAGCTCCTGAGTTTGATTCCCAGTACAAAAGAAAAAAAAAAAAAAAAGACTGGACAGGGGTGGAGAGAGGGAGTGATAAACTAAATGGAATTTTCCAGTTTTGAGAAAAATCTGTTTTTATTTAGATACTTAATTTTTCTGAACCTGATGGTTCTGTGATGACATCTGGTGAGTTCTCTGATGGCCAGAAAAATCAAATAGAAGCTACACATTGTCCTGCATTGTTCTGAGGCTCTGGGCATGAAGCCTTTCTGGCACCACATAGCTGTTAAATGAAAAGTGACCCTCAGCCCACTCAAATTCAAACTCAGTACTTAAAGTTCTAATTTCATAGACTTTGAATACATATTTTTTTTACTACAACAGACTTAATTTTCATGTCTCCTTTTTTCCCTTCAGTGCTACAGTGACCACCTGACTAGATGATGATATAATTTGATTTTGAGATGTATTTTTATCTCTGCAAAGAGGTACTTCATGAATAACACATGTGAATTACTCCTTGCTTTAACATTCTCTAACTGGAATGTTAAATAATGATTTCTCTGAATTTTTTTGTTCTTTCCTACCTTTGTAAATTCATTAAAGCTAAGAAAAGGTCAAACTCTAAGATTAATAAATTTTTATCTATTCCCATGGCATGCATTATCCCGTTAACAGAAATATGAAAGTATTGGCTGTTTTAGACTCAGCATTATTACATCCAACAAAAAATTATTGTGCATGCATGAAGCCTCAGGAATGGTGACAGATACTGAGAAATTTTTTAAAAATCGTATATATTCATATCCTCAACACACAAATACACTTTAAAGGGGCACCTAATGACACAGCCATATTTGGTCTCATAGACATGTAATAGGCAATATATAAAAGATAGAGGTGGACTACAGCCACAGCCCCACTATATTTTTTCAATTAATGGAGTACTTAGTAGCAGAGAATACGATAAATGTTTTACTGAGTGCCTAGTAAAATAAATATTAAGGAGCAAATCAAACATATTTACTACCAATATGCTTTGGGAAGAATGTGAATTTGTTTCCTACACAGCTTCATCATATAACCTAGGGCTTGCCATGGTTCCACAGTGACTACATGGATGGGTAAATTTTCAATTAATGGAGTACTTAGTAGCAGAGAATACGATAAATGTTTTACTGAGTGCCTAGTAAAATAAATATTAAGGAGCAAATCAAACATATTTACTACCAATATGCTTTGGGAAGAATGTGAATTTGTTTCCTACACAGCTTCATCATATAACCTAGGGCTTGCCATGGTTCCACAGTGACTACATGGATGGGTAAATAGATGTTTCAGGCAAACAAAATTTGTTTGGTAAAATTTGATGCTCTCAAAGAAGATCTAGGTTGTTATGAGATCCAAGTAAGCCTTTGCCATTGCTACTATCTAAGACCTCACTTCACACAGTAGCTCTTCTCGGGATCCTTAACTGGAGAGGGTTATATCATCATCAAACACTCCATGGGGGTGGGGGTGGGGAGAAAGAGAGAGAGAGAGAGAGAGAGAGAGAGAGAGAGAGAGAAGCAATTTCCTCCCTTAGAAATTTGCCAATAGTTCTCTCCTTCTTTTAGATGATATCTTGGAAGAAACACATCACATGCTCTACTGCTTTTTCATACCTGAATCTGCAATGTACTCTCACGCTTTGTAGGAGGGTTATAGATTCCACAAATAATGGAGACCAATTGAATACCTTCTTCAGCATTTATAAGGTATGTGAATGTGGGCAACTTTGATCTCTTAAAACCTTAATTTCTTCATGTGTAGAATGATATTAACAGTAGTACTTTTCTCATGTGATTATTGTGAGAATTATATTAGATAATTTATATGAATTACTTAATACATATCTTAGGCAATCTAGAAATTTTAGCTAAAATCCCACACAATGATTTCATTAGAGTTTACTTCAGGAAATGTTTGGAGAGAATAAATGTGATTGCACATGGTAACTGCCTAGTACATAGTAGGTTTCCAATAGTGAAAGCTAGTATTATTAA